GGTCAATACATGAGGTGGAGGAGTTACATTCAGTGACAGTCTTGCAAAGCTCAGTTAATGTAATACAAGTGAATTTCCCCATGGTTACATCTTTTTTAAAGGGTTTGCTGAGGTCATCTGCATTTGCATTAGCAGCAATACTGGCTTTAATTGAAGTTATCTTGTCATTTAAGAACAATGCAAGTTCTTCACATTTTGATGCAGAGAACTGCCGAGGGGTGGGGGCAGTGTTAAGTAGCTGGTCAATAGTGGAGAACAATATTCTAGAGTTTCCAGCATTCTCTGTAATAATCTTGGAGAAGTAATCCTTTCTTGCCAGACGTATTGCTTTGTTATAGGCAGTCATGGCTTTGTATATATTATAGTGAACTGTGAGTCTAGTTTTCCTCCATTTTCTTTCAGCTGCCCGACAGATTCTCTTAATCTCATTAAGACTATTATTGTTTAACCATGGGGAAATTCTGTCAGTCGACCTCTTTTTAACCTTTAGTGGAGTAGCAGTATTTAGAGCAGACGACAAGGCATTGTTGAAATTAAAGAGCAGTCACAACTGTATGGCTCAAATGATCTCATAATATTAGAGAACTTTACTTCAGCCTTGCCATCTAGGAATCTCTTTTGAACCACAAATTCCCCTTTAGTCTTTGTTAAGATTAGGTTGGCATCAAAAACACACACAGTGATGGACATAAATAGGTAATTCTAATACTGAACATTATCAATGTTTAACCCTGTTCTTATTACTAAGTCTAGAATGTTACCATGCTGATGAGTGGCTTAATTTACATGGGTAAGTTCAAAGCTGTCCAGTAGATTCACAAGCTCCATAGCTTTGGAGTCATTATTTTTTATTAATATGAATATTCAGGTCTCCACTCAAAATTTATCTATCATATCTAGTGATTCCAAGTGAGATCAGCTCTGAGAATTCCTGTAGAAATAGTGATGAATATCTTGGTGGCCGATATAATGTAATGATGAGCACTGATAATTCCGCTTTGAGCTCAAGAGCAAGATATTAAAATGATGTAAATTCACCCAGGTCAATGTCATTACACACAAACTGTGTAGAGAAAATGGCTGCAATCCCTCCTCCTTTCCTGTTTTGTCTTCCTGACTGATAAAAATTATAGTTTGGAGGACAAGCCTCTATCAGTGTTGCTACACCAGTAGTGCTGTTTAGCCAGGTCTCAACTAAAAACAGACAATGTAGATTCTTTTCAAGTATCAGAACATTAATCAAGAAGGATTTGTTAGCCAATGATCTGACATTAAAAAGAGCAAATTTCAGCTGTAGGGATTCTGTGACAGGAAAGGAGACTGGTTGTGGCTGAACATTGACACATTTAAGATTATTGAGACAGGTACCTGTTGGTCTGTGATTAGTAATAAGATTGGGATTATGGAAGGCAGCCTGTAAAGGAGCATGGATCTTATCTAAAACATTTGTATTACAAAATGAATGTCTGTCAGAGATTAAAACAGGAATAGTAAAAATGTTACAAATTTGTAAACTAACACTGTCATAATTGCATGCTAGTCAATCAGACTTTGACGGTAAAATAGATTCAATACACCGGATAAGGTTAGAGATCAGCTGCTTGGTCCCCTTCCTATTAGGGTGGAGACCGTCTAATCTAAACAATTCACGTTTACACCATTAAAAGTTTAAAAACAGCCATTAGTTCTAATGTAGCACTACAATGTGCTACACCTAAAACAGTTTTAAATGCAGAGGATCTGTTGTGGGCTTTTTATTTAATCTTCTGCAGCCTGTGAGGTTTCCAGGCAGAACAAACCCCCCTGCAGCTAGTTAATCAGTGATGCACTAGTAGAGAACCCAGTCACAAGGAGTCAATAACTGATCTTCTGACCAAGGAAGCTCACTGCCTTCATTAACAATGGACACTTCTCAGAAGTTAGCGTTATGCTGTAGCTATCCAGTCAAGAAGGTCCCCAGAGACCCTAACGTGCCATTGGGATCCTTAGAGACCCTAATGCACCAACAGGTTGTGGAGGTAAACAAGACAGACATTCCTTCTCTGTGGGAATATCTGTCAACACCCTCTCCATAAGCCTTTCATATGTTGATGGTGCATTGCAAAGTTCTTGTAATTTGCAAAGTTTTCTTGTAAATCGCTATAGTCTTTGCCCTGTGATAAAATCTGTTGTCACCTACAGGCCACCTGCCAGTAGCTGTGACCTAAATCCAATGAGGAGAATCAGCATGCCTTTACCACTCAGTCCAGTCTCATTAATGCGGGGTGGCACAGTCTTTGAGGGGTATTTCATTCAGCTGTCAATTCTCTATTTTTGTCCTTCTTAGGGGCCATCACACCTTGGGAAGCTCATGGACTTATATCTTGCAGGCATTGTTCCTCAGCTTCCATTCTGGCTACCAGGAGATGTTGGGATCTTCATTAGAGGGTGCCTGTATTGTGTGCTGCAACAGGTGGGTCTAGCTCACTTCAGCGTGACAAATGGTTAAGACACGGGAACTGGTACATGACATCCCAAAGATATGGTCCTGTTCCGCAGTTATACCATCAGTGTTCTTTTTCCAGATGGATTTCACAACGGCTTGGTGGGAGGCTGGCAGATGCAGTGGGGCTTGGGGAAATGTATGTTTGGGGTAAGTGAGGGCAGGTGCTGACATTGGGAACTTCCAAGGTTGCTCTGTGTAGCGAAGGGCGAGAGCAGTCACCCCACCCGGCCTCAAACCCGGGTCTACAGGGTGCCAAACTGCAACTTTGACCGTAATGCCAAAGAGCCAGGCTCTTTGGCTCTCGTCCTTTGCTACACTCTGCCTCTTTTGTTTAGCCTTTGGGGGTTTTCAAGGCGATCTGTAGGAGCTGATGCAGTCTGGGGGCAGGAGCCCTACTCTGGCAAAGGGCTCTGGGCAATGATTGTTTGAAAATCAGTCCAGTCAGATGGTTACTGGAGAGTAGCAGCACCACTTTGGCCACATCCAATACTCCTTCCACCCTCTGCAGGGTTCAGCCCCAGCAGGCAAGTTCAGCCCCAGCAGGCATCGTTCTGGGACATTGGCCACTCTGACAGTGTGGTGATAGATGACACCAGCCACTTCAGGGCATGCTTCTCCACCAGCTAGCACTGGAGCCCTTTCTCTAGTGACTCTGGCCAGCAGCACCTATGTGGCCATTGGCTAGATGCCATGGGGGGGTGTAGAGTGCATGATGGAGACCCTGTGTCCGAGAGGACTTGTGTGGGGTGTCCTGCTACTTGTATGTTCACTTTAATGTGAGGAGACCTCATCTCCCAACCTCACTCATTCACTAGTGATAACACACCCTTCACTTTTGCACCGCCCCAAGCCCTTTAGCAGCATACTCGCTGCAAGAGGTGGGAGGACACAGAACCACCAAAACAGCAGAGAGGTGCTAAAACTCTTAAGAGCACTACAATATATTTAATAAATGTTACAGGGAAGTTGATTACCCACTGTACATGTTTAGAGTCCTGCTGTTCCTACCACACCTGTGTGAGTATAGATGCACCACAGTGCTCCCATGAGGCTGATGCCAATCAGGAAAGCAGCGAACACAATCCCCACCACTGGGCCAGTGTCAACCCCAGTGCCTGATGGAGAGATCCAGAGAGAGGATGTCATAAAGGAAGTGACATCACAGCACAAAAACAAGGAGGATTAGGATTAACCAAAGGAGTGTTTCCTAAGCAACTTCCACACAAAACCGCTGCCTTTTGCATATAGCGTTTGAACTGCACAAGAAAAACGCAGTGAGGGCTTGTGCCCTGGCACTGATCTCAGGCTTCTTAATGTGAACGGACATTTAGAGGGAGCTGTGGAACTAAGGATGACCCTTTGTGTGAGGCGAGTGAGAGGCAAAGGTTTAGAGGGACTTACTGTTCTTTGCAGGGCTCAACTTGGACAGTGGCTTCAGGTTGGGTTTGTGAGCTCTTTGACCTATGCAATACAACAGAAACACACACACATGCCATTCATCAGTACCCTTTAAAACTGGACCATATCTCTTACCATCTGTCCATCAATGGATGAACACCATGGAGAAGAGATTCAGTCTCACTTCAGCTTCAGGTCATGTCTCTTCAATATTATCGCTATCTTTGAGTTCAAGAAACTATGAAATGGTGGTGTGTATAATTCATGACGGTTTCTTTCTAGAGGCATGTACTTCTGTTCACATAAAATGCCTGAAACTAACAAAGGTGGTAGAACTAACAGAGCCAGCTACCCTGCTGTCCACATTTCAGTTCGCAAGCCAATGAAAAGCTGTACTATTGCATGTGGTGGTTCAGCGCACTACTGACCAGCAGATGGTGCCAGAAGCCGAGCCAGGCCCAAAGACTGTGTGACTAGCATGGGTCGGGACAGAGTCCTGTACTTGCACTGGAACAGGACAGGAAGAATATGAGTGATTGTGGGGCACAGAGTCTCCACTGCATTATAGTGTCTGGGTAAACTGTACTAGAGCATGGGGCACAGTACCTGTTGGTTCCTGGGCTTAGCAATGAGGGTTGGGAGGGCAGGGCCATGGCGACAGCCGTCATGTGATGTCACCCTCTGGGGCCCCTCCTCACACTGTCGCAGTCTGCAGTGCAGGAACTGGATGGAGTTGTTGTAAACAGGCCGCAGCACAAAGCTGAACCGTACCCTGTCAGCTGGCCTGCCCTCCTCTGCCTCTCCTCTCTCCCCTCTCACTTCCTCCTTCACAGTTTCCTCCCTCACTCTGGTCCTGACTCCGCCCCCCACCTCAGGGCTCAGCGTGAGTGAGGGGTCAAAGGCGCAGCCATCCTGGATGACTGGCCAGCCTGGATTGGCCTGGGGGTCAGACAGTGGTGAAACCACACAGGAGTGGACCTCCACACCCTCTCTGATCATGCCTGCCACTGACACCTGTGGGGGAGGGAAGGAGAAGGAGTGGGACTAACGCTAACATCATAACACCCAGAAATGGCCCATAGCACTTTTTAAAGCATGCATAAAAACAAAAATTAAGGCAATCGAAGCTCAGTAGTTAAAGCATTTGTCTCAAGTACAAGCTCAACCTGGGTTCAATCCCAGCCATGTCATCAATGGCAGCCAACAGCTTCAGAACAAACTGGCTTCCTCCTGCTTGGGATAAGGGTGCACCTGTCTGCAGGGGTTACTTTCCTCACCCCCCTCAGGCACCCTGCAATTCAGCAGGCACCTGCAAGTTGCTTGGATGACATCAGCAGAGTAGCACCTATCCTCTAATGAGTGCCCATTCCCCTGTGGTCCACTGTACAAAAACAGCTATTGGCTGCAGGTGGGTGTACCAAAGGATACACCCATGTGGTCTAAACAATAATATAACTTTGAGGGGGACATCCTGTCACTTTCTCCAAAACAAAAACAAAAAAACTTGGGCTTCCTTTACCTATAGGAACAAAAAAGCCCTGGCAAATCCACTCTTAGTTCTTGTTTCTTTACACCTGAAATGAGACACTTCAGTCCTTGTTGTTTGCAAGGATTGTATTCCCTGACCTAACAGTACAATGAAATGAATAAGATTCTCATTCTGATAGATGGAATTCGAAAACTCAGGAGAGACACTGACCTCCACATAGATAGGGAAGAATAAGCAGAGAGACTGACCTCCACATAGACACGATTATCTGCCATGATGACGCAGGGTCCCATCTCTCTCTGCTCGAACCCCTCTGTCACAAATAGCTGCAAGGAGAAGAGTGGGGCAACCGAACGTCCCAGATCCATATCCTGCCCCTGGGGTGCACTGGGAGGGGTGGGGACCACAGCCAAACAGCTGAACTGTAGAGAGGTAACACAAACACTGACTGACCACCTCACACACACATTACATTACATTACATGAATTTAGCACACACTTTTATCCAGAGAGACTTCAAAGTCAAAGTCAAAGTCAACTTTATTGTCAATTCTCCAATATGCACAGGTCATACAGAGGATTGAAATTGCGTTTCTCTCAGGCCCACGGTCACAATACAACAGTTAGACGTAACACACGAGAGACACTGAGAGACAAAAACAAAAATTTCTACATATATACAATAAACACAAATGGCTCAATAACACAGACATAAATAAAAATGTGTGACATTTGTGACAAAAACAAGCTACAAATATTTACAACAAGGGCATCAAGGCACATAGTAGGTTGTAAAAATACAAAAATATAAATTCCACAGGATGGTGTAAGAAAGTGCAGAGTGGTTCATAGTGCAACAGTTTGTAGCAGCTGATGTAGACTGTTATGTAAGTAAAGTGACTGTGCAGATCTGTGTGAGTTTGTGCGTGATTAATGTTGGGAGTAGGGATGGGTGGAGAATAGTCCAGACTTCAGTATTGGGGGTCAAAGTTCAGTTCTGTGTTGGAGCAGACAGCTGAGGGAGGGAAGAGAGTTCAACTTCCTAACAGCCTGGTGGATGAAGCTGTCCCTCAACCTTGAGGTACGGTCCTGGAGGCTTCTGAATCTCCTCACAGATGGGAGGGGACTGAGGAGCGTGTGCGATGGGTGAGTGGGGTCACCAGCAATGCTCAGTGCTTTACGGGCTAGGCGTGTGTTGTAGACGTCCAGGAGGGAGGGGAGTGAGGCACCAGAGATCTTTTCTGCTGCATCCACTATGAGCTGCAGGGTTCTCCTGTTGGCGGTGGTGCAGCTTCCAAACCACACAGTGATGCAGCTGGTAAGGATGCTCTCAATGGTGCCACGGTAGAAGGAGCACACGATGGGAGCTGGGGCTCTGGCTCTCCTCAGTTTGCGGAGGAAGTAGAGGCGTTGCTGAGCTTTCTTGGCCAGTGATGTGGTGTTGTTTGACCAGGAGAGGTCCTCTGTTATGTGCACACCCAGAAACTTGGTGCTGCTCACCCTCTCCACAGCTGCACCATTGATGGTCAGAGGATGATGCTGGGTGTGCTCTCTCCTGAAGTCGACAACCATCTCCTTTGTTTTCTCTACATTCAGAGAGAGATTGTTGTCGCCACACCACTTGGCAAGTTGGCTCACCTCTGTCCTGTAGTTAGCCTCATCTTTGTTGGTGATGAGACCCACCACAGTTGTGTCATCCGCAAACTTGATGAAAAGGTTGGAGCTGTACTTCGGTGTGCAGTCATGGGTCAGCAGCGTAAAGAGAAGGGGGCTAAGCACACATCCCTGAGGGGCCCCAGTGTTAAGTATGATGTTGCTGGATGTGTGGTTGCCGACCCTAACTGCTTGTGGTCTTCCAGTGAGGAAGTCCAGTAACCAGTTGCATAGTGAAGTGCTAAAGCCCAGGTGATCCAGTTTCTGAATTAACTGCATGGGGACGATTGTGTTGAATGCTGAGCTGAAGTCTATGAACAGCATTCTCACATATGAGTCCTTCTTTTCCAGATGGGTGAGGGCTGAGTGGATAGCAGTGGAGATTGCGTCATCTGTGGACCGGTTGGCTCGATATGCAAACTGGAATGGGTCCAGGGAGGGAGGGAGGATGGATTTGATGTGCTGCATGACTAACCGTTCGAAGCACTTCATTAAGATGGGCTTCAGTGCAACAGGGCGGTAGTCATTGAAGCTGGATGGAGATGGCTTCTTTGGCACAGGTATTATTGTGGTTGCTTTGAAGCAGGTAGGGACAACTGCCTGGCTTAGGGAGGTGTTGAAGATGTCTGTAAAGACATCTTTGAGCTCCTCTGCACAGTCCTTCAGCACACGGCCAGGTATGTTGTCGGGCCCAGCAGCTTTGCAGGCATTGATTCTGGAGAGGGAGTTCTTCACGCTGGCTGGGGATAGGCACAGGACCTGGTCGACAAGAGGGGGTGGTGATTTGTGTGCAGGTCTGGAGTTGTTTGCTTCAAAGCGTGCGAAGAAGTTATTGGGATTGTTAAGCAGAGAGATGTTGCTGTCACAGGTCCGTGGTGGGGGCTTATAATCTGTGATGGACTGGATTCCCTGCCACAGGCTCCTTGTGTCTCTGCTGTCACTGAAGTTCTGTGCAATCTTCTGTGTGAACTGCTTTTTGGCTTTCCTGATGCCGCGGGACAGGTTGGCTCTGGCTGTTCTCAGTGTAGCATCGTCACCGGCTCTGAAGGCAGCATTTTGAGCCCTCAATAGCCTGTGGACCTCTCCTGTCAGCCATGGCTTCTGGTTAGCCCGTGTGGTGATGGTTTTGGTTTCAGTAACATCATCTATGCATTTGGTGATGTAGGCTGTAACTGTCTCTGTGTACTCCTCAATGTTGATGTGTTGGTTGTGGGTGGCTGCCTGTCTGAACATGTCCCAGTCTGTGGTGGCAAAGCAGTCCTGCAATGCTGATGAGGCACCCTCTGGCCACACTCTGATTTCTCTCTGAACCGGTTTGGTGACTTTCACCCGTGGTCTGTATGCCGGCATTAGCATAACAGTGATGTGGTCAGAGAGGCCAAGATGGGGGAGGGGTGAGGCTCTGTATGCTCCTCTATGTGTTGTGTAAACCAGGTCCAAAGTGTTATTTCCCCCTGTTGGAAAGTTAATGTGTTGATGTATATTTGGAAACACAGTCTTAGGGTCTGCATGATTGAAATCTCCAGCTAAGATGAGAAATCCCTCTGGGTGGGCTGTCTGTTGTTCGCTGATGGCCTGGTAGAGCTCACTGATTGCCCCGTTCTTGTCGCTGTTGTTAGAGCTGGGGGGAATGTAAACAGCAACTAGCAGGATGGCTGTGAATTCCCTCGGCAGGTAAAATGGACGGCACTTGACAATCATAAACTCCGCCAGGGGTGAACAATGTCTGCAGACCACTGTGGCATCACGACACCATGCATCATTGATGTAAACACAGACCCCACCACCGCGGGTCTTACCGTTCTCAACCAGGGCTCTGTCTGCTCGATAGCATGTTAGCTGGTCAAGTTGAATGGCGGAGTCCGGTACGTTGTTGTTGAGCCACGTTTGTGAATACAAAAACACAGCACTCTCTCGCAGCTCGCTGAGAAGATCTCAGAAGCCGTATGTGGTCCATTTTATTGTCTAAAGAGCGTACGTTGGCGAGGAGGATGGTTGGAATAGTCGGTTTTATGGGCTAGCTGCTAGCCTAACTCGGGTACCTCCGCATTTGCCCCTCTTCTGCTTTCTCTCACACTGCCTGTGACGCCTCCTCTCCGGGTGGGGAGTCGCAATCGGGGCCGGTGATGTGGTAGTCCAGCGGAGTAAACCATGTCTCTGAAGTTCCTCAGAATACGTGGTGTTTAATTTCCAAATTCCAGATCTGCCGATGTCAAGCAAATCCTTCCGGTTGTAAATTCGCCTTGTGTTGAACAAACATAACGTACGCTGACAAAAGCACGCCGACTTGCACGAAAATAAACACGAAAACACTGTTCTTTCAGGACAGAGAGGAGCCGCTGTGTCTGCACGCGCCGCCGACTTCCAGCACAATAAAACATAAGTGAATCCATTCAAATCCATTTAAACAAGCAACAGTGTCAGACAAGGCCAACAACACTCCCTGGTGTGTCTGCCTGAACTTAGCAGACTCTCGTACCTGTTAGTGTTTGTGTATGTGAGGTGCTCAGTGAATGTTTGTGTGTATGGTGCCCAGTCAACACACAAACACTGTTAACACACAAACACTGACTGAGCACTTCACATACACAAACACTCACCACACACACACCAACACTGTCTGAGAACCTCACACACACAATCACTAACCACCTCACACACAAACACTGACTGAGCACCAGACACACAAACACAGAGTGACCACTACTCACACACAAACATCAACTGTCCTCTTCAAACACACAAACACTGACTGGGCACCATACACACAAACATTCAATGAGCACCTCACATACACACACACTAACAGACCACCACACACACAAACACTGATTGAGCACCACATACACAAACAATGAATGAGCACCACACACACAGACTGACCACCTCATACTCACAAACACTGACTGACCACCATATGCACAAACACTGACTGAGCACCACACACACAGACTGACCACCTCACACACACAAACATTAACTGAACACCTCACACAAAAACACTGACTGACCACCACACAAAAAGCCAGTGACTGAGTAAGGCCAGTA